TCGAGGTCGAATATGTCGTCCAACAGAATTTCCAACTCCACTTTCCGGGCCATCTCACTCGGTCTGGACATAACGTGACAGTTTATGCCCAGATTTAGGAGAGTGACTTGGTCCTCAGTGAGGTTAATTCCTGCAAGGTTCAGGAAGCCATCTCTTGGTCGTGGAATTGCCATAGGTCCTCCATATAACGTTGTTAGTTTCTTGATAATCCTTGTTTCAGTGCTGAGGTGATGCCGGTCTGTGAGGATGTTGAGGTGTTGTTCAATGCGGGTACGGATACTTTCGTCGATGTTGTTATTTCTCCACTTGTTTGTAGCATGAAGTAGTTGCGTTTTGTTGTCTTTGATTTCATTCTCTGCCTTGTATATCTAATTACGAATCAGATCCTGGCGATATTTTATCGTGAAGGCTTGATTCCTTGCTGCTGGGTCGTGAGTTTTAATATTAGTATATTTTGGTAACAGTCTTTCCTGTAGACATATATTATTAAATATGACCGAAAAACTAAGATTAATAATTCTAACACGAATTTTCTCAATCTTTCGTACATTTCTTTTCACTGTTGGTGGTAATTCAAAAATCAATTCTCCAAAATTCATTTTTATTTCTAGTCTGACGCGACACTTGAGCGCGTTTCGTAAAACTTATTACGTTTTCAAAGACTTTAGTTTACACATACACAACTGAATAGAACTTACACATCTCCGATTTGTTTATATCTACATTTGAGTGAGGTGGATGGGGTGAGGTGGTATTAATAGGGTATTAAATTCATCAACACAAGACAGAACACGAAACAATAGGTATTGAATGGAAGTGATTGTAGAAAGCCTATTGGTCCATATTTCTTGATGCTTCTATATTGGAGCGGAGTCTTGAGGTGGGTAGAATATAGTTGTGCATTAATTGGCTGTTGATTGCTGGTGTTGACTTTTTAATGTGTAGTGCCTCGCAAACGTCAAGCCGTCTGCTATCGCTGTATCTATTGATGATTTCTGTGTTGTTTACTAGGATTTCTCTGGCGATGGTTTGGTTGTGGGAAGAGATTATATGTTCCTTAATGGAGCCCTGTTGCTTATGCATCGTTAAACGCCTAGAAAGAGATGTTGTTGTCTTGCCTATATACTGGTTTTTTTGGAGCTTACAATCCCCAAGAGGGCATTTGAAGGCATAGACGACGTTGGTCTCTTTTAAAGCGTTCTGCTTTGTGTCTGGAGAGTTTCTCAAGAGTAGGCTGGCCGTTTTTCTGGTTTTATATTAAATCGTCATTTGTATCCTCTGATTTTTGTCTGTAGGGATAACGTTTCTATTAGCAATATCTTTCAGGACCCTTTCCTCCGTTTTATGAGCTGTGGAAAAGAAGTTCCTGTAAAATAGTCTAATAGGGGGTATAGGTGTTGTGTTAGTTGTCTCTTCAGAGGTTGCATGGCGTTTCACTTTCCTTCTTATGATATCTTCGACGAAACCATTGGAGAAGCCGTTGTTGACTAGGACCTGCCTTACCCTACAGAGTTCTTCGTCGACTTGCTTCCATTCTGAGCTGTGGCTGAGAGCCCGGTCGACATATGCGTTAACAACACTCCTCTTGTACCTGTCTGGGCAGTCGCTGTTGGCATTTAGGCACATTCCTATGTTCGTTTCCTTAGTGTAGACTGCAGTGTGGAAACCACCGCTCTTTTCCATGACTGTTACATCTAGAAAGGGCAGCTTCCCATCCTTTTCCATCTCGTAAGTGAAACGCAGCACGGAACTCTGCTCAAACGCCTCCTTCAGCTCCTGCAGATGTCTGTATGTATAAGCAAGTAGATGGGGTCGCCATGGGTTCTCCCCTAGGTGTCCTGTTTGCAAACTTCTACATGGGTACCATCGAGCAAAAAGTCTTAGTCGACATGAACTTGAAACTGGCCATATACTGCAGGTATGTTGACGACATTTTTACACAGGTACCTGATGTCAGACATCTGCAGGAGCTGAAGGAGGCGTTTGAGCAGAGTTCCGTGCTGCGTTTCACTTACGAGATGGAAAAGGATGGGAAGCTGCCCTTTCTAGATGTAACAGTCATGGAAAAGAGCGGAGGTTTCCACACTGCAGTCTACACTAAGGAAACGAACATAGGAATGTGCCTAAATGCCAACAGCGACTGCCCAGACAGGTACAAGAGGAGTGTTGTTAACGCATATGTCGACCGTGCTCTCAGCCACAGCTCAGAATGGAAGCAAGTCGACGAAGAACTCTGTAGGGTAAGGCAGGTCCTAGTCAACAACGGCTTCTCCAATGGTTTCGTCGAAGACATCATAAGAAGGAAAGTGAAACGCCATGCAACCTCTGAACAGACAACTAACACAACACCTATACCCCCTATTAGACTATTTTACAGGAACTTCTTTTCCACAGCTCATAAAACGGTGGAAAGGGTCCTGAAAGATATTGTTAATAGAAACGTTATCCCTACAGACAAAAATCAGAGGATACAACTGACGATTTACTATAAAACCAGAAAAACGGCCAGCCTACTCATGAGAAACTCTCCAGACACAAAGCAGAACTCTTTAAAAGAGACCAACGTCGTCTATGCCTTCAAATGCCCTCTTGGGGATTGTAAGCTCCAAAAAACCCAATATATAGACAAGACAACAACATCTCTTTCTAGGCGTTTAACGATGCATAAGCAACAGGGCTCCATTATGGAACATATAATCTCTTCCCATCGCCAGAGAAATCCTAGTAAACAACACAGAAATCATCGATAGATACAGCGATTGCAGACATCTTGACGTTTGCGAGGCACTACACATTAAAAAGTCAACACCAGCAATCAACAGCCAATTAATGCACAACTATATTCTACCCACCTCAAGACTCCGCTCCAATATAGAAGCATCAAGAAATATGAACCAACGAGCAAACTACCCATTCTTCGCCTGCCTGCTCCTGATTGGCTGGTGTATCGCCGATCACACCTGCACCTTCACTCACGCCCCCTACCTGAGTCGACGTCTGGGCCAGCTCACGCCATACTCCTCAGAATATCTCTGTGCTCTTAGAAGTTGACATCTCTCTCTGGTAGACTAAGCCCTGGCTGTCGTGTACTAAGGGAGGTGGCAGCTTTAGCCAGTATTCTCAGCACCTGATTCTTATTATTATTGTCTTGCACTTCATTTTATAAGCCCGTTTTCATGAATCTTCATTTTATAAGCCACGTTTTCATGAATCAATTGTTTTTCGACTACCTAACCTAACCTAACTTTTTCGGCTACCTAACCTAACCTAACCTAACCTATAGAGATAGGTTAGGTTAGGTTAGGTAGGGTTGGTTAGGTTCGGTCATATATCTACGTTAATTTTAACTCCAATAAAAAAATTGACCTCATACATAATGAAATGGGCAGCTTTATCATTTCATAAGAAAAACAAAATAGAGAAAATATATTAATTCAGGAAAACTTGGCTTATTAGGCATATCGGGCCTTGCATAGTAGGCTGAGAAGTGCATCCTGGCTACTAGGTATGACATATATATATATATATATATATATATATATATATATATATATATATATATATATATATATATATATATATATATATATATATATATATATATATATATATATATATATATATATATATATATATATATATATATATATATATATATATATATATATGTGTGTGTGTGTGTGTGTGTGTGTGTGTGTGTGTGTGTATATCACGGAAATAAACACGTGATTAAGAATGTGACAATGTCAGACCACGGAGGAAAATGAAACAGGAATTTCCTTAAGTACTTTCGTATATTAAATACATCTTCAGAAGGAATGATTCCTTCTGAAGATGTATTTAATATACGAAAGTACTTAAGGAAATTCCTGTTTCATTTTCCTCCGTGGTCTGACATTGTCATATATATATATATATATATATATATATATATATATATATATATATATATATATATATATATATATATATATATATATATATATATATATATGTCGTACCTAGTAGCCAGAACGCACTTCTCAGCCTATTATGCAAGGCCCAATTTGCCTAATAAGCCAAGTTTTCCTGAATTAATATATTTTCTCTAATTTTTTCTTATGAAATGATAAAGCTACCCATTTCATAATGTATGAAGTCAAATTTTTTTTATTGAAGTTAAAATTAACGTTGATATATGACCGAACCTAACCAACCCTACCTAACCTAACCTAACCTATCTTATTGGTTAGGTTAGGTTAGGTAGCCGAAAAAGTTAGGTTAGGTTAGGTTAGGTAGGTTAGGTAGTCGAAAAACAATTAATTCATGAAAACTTGGCTTATTAGGCAAATCGGGCCTTGCATAGTAGGCTGAGAAGTGCGTTCTGGCTACTAGGTACGACATATATATATATATATATATATATATATATATATATATATATATATATATATATATATATATATATATATATATATATATATATATATATATATCGTACCTAGTAGCCAGAATGCACTTCTCGGCCTATGCAAGGCCCGATTTGCCTAATAGGCCGTGTGATTTTCTTTATTTTCAATAAATCGTTTCCGATTAGTTTATTGGAATTTTATTATTATTTTATATAAAGAACATAAATTATTGATATAGTTGTGTTAGTTTAGGTTAAAACTTAGGTTAGGTTACAAGGTGTCTAATTACTAACGAATGAAGAAATAAATCCCTGAGTCCTATTTGCCTTATTACGATCTTTTAGGCATTGATCTTTTTGTTTTCAAATCTTCATAATCATAACCCCAGATACCTTTCGCAATCCGACTTTGCAATCTCAACACCATCTAGCTCGTATCTTGTAACTATACCATCATTACCTAGCCTCAACACCTTACATTTGTCAGCATTAAACTACATCTGCCAATCTTCTGACCATTTCAAAACCGTATGTAGATCGTCTTGATTTAAATGACACTTAATAAAGTTAGCAAATTGCAGTTTGATATGTTCCTGCAGGTAGTGTCAGATCAGGTGGGATACAACTGACATGTGATCCTGCAGACCGCTGCGATCAACAGCGTGACAGGTGGAATTATTTTACCGAACAAGCTTGGCTGCCGGCCGGACATGAAGAGCAGAACATGAAGAGCCTCTCGTGATGGCGCCTCTCGTGATGGCGCCTCTCGTGATGGCGCCTCTCGTGATGGCGCCTCTCGTGATGGCGCCTCTCGTGATGGCGCCTCTCGTGATGGCGCCTCTCGTGATGGCGCCTCTCGTGATGGCGCCTCTCGTGATGGCGCCTCTCGTGATGGCGCCTCACGTGTTGACACCTCACGTGTTGATGCTTCACGTCTTGGCACTTCACGTGTTGGGGCTTCACGTGTTGGCGCCTCACGTGTTGGCATTTCAGGTGTTGGGTCTTCACGTGTTGGCACTTAACGTGTTGGGGTTTCACGTACTAGCACTTCACGTGTTGGCGCTTCACGTACTAGCGCTTCACGTGTTGGCGCTTCACGTACTGGCGCTTCACGTGTTGGTGCCTCACGTGTTGGCATTTCAGGTGTTGGGTCTTCACGTGTTGGCACTTAACGTGTTGGGGTTTCACGTACTAGCGCTTCACGTGTTGGCGCTTCACGTACTAGCGCTTCACGTGTTGGCGCTTCACGTACTGGCGCTTCACGTGTTGGCGCTTCACGTACTGGCGCTTCACGTGTTGGCGCTTCACGTACTGGCGCTTCACGTGTTGGCGCTTCACGTACTGGCGCTTCACGTGTTGGCGCTTCACGTACTGGCGCTTCACGTGTTGGCGCTTCACGTGTTGACGCTTCACGTGTTGGCACCTCACATGATGGCGTTTCACGTTTTGGCGCCTCACGTGTTGATATCTCACGTTTTGACGCCTCCACGTTGAAGCCGCCATGTTGACGCCGCAATGTTGACGCCGCCATGTTGACGCTGTCCTGTTGACGCCGCCATGTTGACGCCGCCATGTTGACGCCACCATGTTGACGCCGCCATGTTGACGCCGCCATGTTGACGCCGCCATGTTGACGCCGCCATGTTGACGCCGCCATGTTGACGCCGCCATGTTGACGCCGCTATGTTGACGTCACCATGTTGACGCCGCCATGTTGACGCCGCCATGTTGACGCCGCCATGTTGACGCCGCCATGTTGACGCCGCCATGTTGACGCCACCATGTTGACGCCGCCATGTTGACGCCGCCATGTTGACGCCACCATGTTGACGCCGCCATGTTGACGCCGCCATGTTGACGCCACCATGTTGACGCCGCCATGTTGACGCCGCCATGTTGACGCCGCCATGTTGACGCCACCATGTTGACGCCGCTATGTTGACGCCACCATGTTGACGCCGCCATGTTGACGCCGCGATGTTGACGCCGCCATGATGACGCCTCACTTGTTGACGCCACCATGTTGACCCCTCACGTGTTGACGCCACCATGTTGACGCCGGCATGATGACGCCTCACGTGTTGACGCCGCCATGTTGACGCCGCCATGTTGATGCCTCACGTGTTGACGCCACCATGTTGACGCCGCCATGTTGACGCCGCTAAGTTGACGCCGCTATGTTGACGCCGCCATGTTGACGCCGCTATGTTGACGCCACCATGTTGACGCCGCCATGTTGACGCCGCGATGTTGACGCCGCCATGATGACGCCTCACTTGTTGACGCCACCATGTTGACCCCTCACGTGTTGACGCCGCCATGTTGACGCCACCATGTTGACGCCAACATGTTGACACCTCCATGTCGAGGCCGCCATGTTGACGCCTCACGTGTTGACGCCACCATGTTGACGCCGCCATGTTGACGCCGCCATGTTGACGCCTCACGTGTTCACGCCGCCATGTTGACGCCGCCATGTTGACGCCGCCATGTTGAGGCCTCACGTGTTGACGCCACCATGTTGACGCCGCCATGTTGACGCCGCTAAGTTGACGCCGCTATGTTGACGCCGCCATGTTGAAGGCGCTATGTTGACGCCGCCATGTTGACGCCGCCATGTTGACGACACCATGTTGACGCCGCTATGTTGACGCCGCCATGTTGAAGGCGCTATGTTGACGCCGCCATGTTGACGCCGCCATGTTGACGCTACCATGTTGACGCCACCATGTTGACGCCACCATGTTGACACCAACATGTTGACGCCGCCATGTTGACACCAACATGTTGACGCCGCCATGTTGACACCAACATGTTGACGCCGCCATGTTGACGTCTTACGTGTTGACGCCACCATGTTGACGCCGCCATGTTGACGCCGCCATGTTGACGCCTCTATGTTGACGCCGCTAAGTTGACGCCGCCATCTTGACGCCGCTAAGTTGTCGCCGCTATGTTGACGCCGCTAAGTTGCCGCCGCTATGTTGACGCCGCCGTATCGACCCCGCAGTGTTGACGCCGCCATGTCGACGCCGCCGTATCGACCCCGCAGTGTTGACGCCGCCATGTTAACGCCGCAGTGTTGACGCCACCATGTTAACGCCGCAGTGTTGACGCCACCATGTTAACGCCGCAGTGTTGACGCCACCATGTTGACACCAACATGTTGACGCCGCCATGTTGACGTCTTACGTGTTGACGCCACCATGTTGACACCAACATGTTGACGCCGCCATGTTGACGTCTTACGTGTTAACGCCACCATGTTAACGCCGCAGTGTTGATGCCGCCATGTTAACGCCGCAGTGTTGACGCCACCATGTTGACACCAACATGTTGACGCCGCCATGTTGACGTCTTACGTGTTGACGCCACCATGTTGACACCAACATGTTGACGCCGCCATGTTGACGTCTTACGTGTTGACGCCACCATGTTGACACCAACATGTTGACGCCGCCATGTTGACGCCGCCATGTTGACGCCGCTAAGTTGACGCCGCTATGTTGACGCCGCTAAGTTGACGCCGCTATGTTGACGCCGCTAAGTTGACGCCGCTATGTTGACGCCGCAGTGTTGATGCCGCTATGTTGACGCCGCTATGTTGACGCCGCAGTGTTGATGCCTCCGTGATGACTGCAAGTTTCATAAAAGTTGTCTTCAAGTATCTCTTTTGTCGAGAAACCTGAGTATAATGAGATGTGCAGCTGCAGCTCGTGGTCTTACAGGCTGTGAATCAAGCAGGTCTGGCGTGCAGCTGCAGCTCGCGGTCTTACAGGCTGTGAATCAAGCAGGTCTGGCGTGCAGCTGCAGCTCACGGTCTTACAGGCTGTGAATCAAGCAGGTCTGGCGTGCAGCTGCAACTCGCGGTCTTACAGGCTGTGAATCAAGCAGGACTGTAAGAACACGCGTGAGACCCTTCCCGGCCTTCTCTTCCCCGGAATAAGTAAGACATTACCACAAGAAAGAAGAGCCAACCCCCGCAAGACTGTGTTGCACAGTCACCGAATATTAAAGAGCGCTCCGATATCTTTCAGAATGTTAATATGAGAGCTGAAGACGTAAAACTTATGTCAAAGGAATCCGAGCCTCCGATGCTGGATAAGATTTACGCTTGGAGCAATCTGCAGCCTTGATCCCTTATATATCCTGCGGTATTGTATGTGGTATATCCGGATGGCAACCAGACCTGGATTGTGGTAATATAATCATCATTTTCGATTGCAATCAGAATAAAGGGAGAGTAACGGCCTCACGCTTGAATTAGTTATGATCATTGACGCCCATTGTGGTTAAACGTTCAGATTTGGAGACAAGTTTTAATTAAACGCGTCTAGAGGTCAATGATGCTCAGTTCCATTCCATATGTAACCAAGTGAGTGTTAGTTTTTAATTTGGCTACATCATGTCACTGGGGCATAACCCTGACAACCTCGTCGAGAAATGAATCCCCTTAAGCATTACCGATATCCCCTCCTTCTCTTAGCTAGGTATAACACCCCTGATTGGTTCTTAGATGGTTGAAAATCCATAACTGCTTCACAAGTTCCCTCCTCCCCTTCCCCCCCGCCCGTCTCCTCCTTATATAGTCGTAAAAACCCGAATTGGTTCATAAAAGTTCCGTTGGCTGGTTGTAACACCAAAACCCGGTTCACAGATATGTGTGGATATCTTGACACTGAGAAATGGTCAGCGGTGGTGAACCGTGAAGCGATAACTGGTATTCCGGTAAAAAAAAGGGTCCTGGTAGTGTAATTGGGTTCGGTCTTGACGCACAATCGATATCCCGGTGAAATAGAAAGGGTTGGGCACATTTCATCTCACCTAATGCATCTGTTCACCTAGCCGTAAGTATAGGTACTCAGGAGTTAGTCAACTAGTTGTGGGGTTGCAGGCTTGGACGGGGTCAGTAATTCGACCTTTTGGGACGGGGACTTAGATATAAGCCTAACATATATGAATAGACTCTGGCTTCCTGTCCCCTGACACAATGCATTATTAGTATTATAAATACCGTAACAACCACTATACCATCATAGGACAACAATTAACGTCCCTAACTTTGGCCCGTTTGAAATGTTTCAATATTAATAGTTTTTCATTCAGTCTACTGGTATTTTTCCCCACAAATTTATATTATTAATTTAAAATATATAGGTAAACCTCAATTTATAATACTTTTTTAGGAATGAATTGTGTGTATTAGTTTTATCCTAAAGGCTTTCCGAGACCACAGGATCACGCGTCGAGCATGCTGTCCAGTCAGCCACCGTCCCCCTGTGTGTACTCACCTAGTTGTATTTGCGGGGGTTGAGCTTTGCTCTTTCAGCCCGCCTCTCAACTGTCAATCCACTGTTTACTAACTACTTTTTTTCCACACACACACACACACACACACACACACACACACACACACACACACACACACACACACACACACACACACACACACACACACACACACACACACACACACACACACACACACACACCAGGAAGCAGCCCGTGACAGCTGACTAACTCCCAGGTACCAAATTATTGCTAGGTAACAGGGGCATTCAGGATAGAAAAAACTTTGCACATTTGTTTCTGCCTCGTGCGGGAATCGAACCCGCACCACAGAATTACGAGTCCTGCGCTATCCACCAGGCTACGAGGTACCTGTGTGTACTTACCTATTTGAGCTTGCAGGATCGAGCATTGTCTCTTGGATGTGTGTGTGTGTGTGTGTGTGTGTGTGTGTGTGTGTGTGTGTGTGTGTGTGTGTGTGTGTGTGTGTGTGTGTGTGTGTGTGTGTGTGTGTGTGTGTGTGTGTGTGTGTGTGTGTACTCATCTAGTTGTACTCACCTAGTTGTGCTTACGGGGGTTGAGCTCTGGCTCTTTGGTCCCGCCTCTCAACCGTCAATCAACAGGTAGAATCATAGTGTGTGTGTTTGTGTGCGTTCGCGCGCGCGCGCGTGTGTGCGCACGCGTGTGCGCGCGCAAACAAAAGCACGCAGATAACATCGATGTTTAAAGTGGGATGATGTAAATATAATTATCTAATTGTTACAACGAGAATAAAGAGAAAAAACTAATAACTTACAACACTTTTATTACTTTAACAAGTACAGAATGGAGATTTGCAACGGTTTGATAAATGTTTAAATTATTCATACGCACCACCAGCCTTTAATGCACAAGTCAAAAGTACATTTGTTATGTACTTTATACCCATCCTGTGGTCAGTCGTGGACCCAATACCCATCCTGAGGTCAGTCGCGGACCCCATACCTATCCTGTGGTCAGTCGTGGACCCCATTCCATTCTTAAGGTAAGTCGTGGATCCCATACCCATCCTGTGGTCAGTCGTGGACCCCATACCCATCCTGAGGTCAGTCGTGGACCCCATACCCATCCTGTGGTCAGTCGTCGACCCCAAACCCATCCTGAGGTCAGTCGTGGACCCAATACCCATCTTGTGGTCAGTCGTGGACCCCATACCCATCCTGTGGTCAGTCGTGGACCCCATACCCATCCTGTGGACAGTCGTGGACCCCATACCCATCCTGTAGTCAGTCGTGGACTCCATACCCATCCTGATATCAGTCGTGGACCCCATACCTATCCTGTGGTAAGTCGAGGACCCCATACCCATCATGAGATCAGTCGTGGAAC